ACCCTTTGCCATGTTATCATTAAATTTGTTACTTTCCCTGTTAGCAATCCTGTGTACGGTGTGGTTAACGTCATCTGCACATTTGTCTCGTACCTATGTAAAAAAAATTATATGCCAGAGTCTTCGAAAAGTTGGCAGTGCCATGAACCTTAGTTTCCTTTTAATTCAATAAATCTTAGAGAGATTAAGAGATCAAGAGCTTTTTATTATCATTATTATTGTCATTGTCATTTTCATTATCACTTTTTTACCCATGGAGGAAACCTTAAATAGGTTGAATATGATACTGGCAGTTAAATACCGTGATAACAAGGGGAAGTACGTATTGAAAAGCATTTAAACGTCTCCCGTATTATGCAAGTTTTACCACCTCTAGGGACTGCCCAACAAAAGTGGACAATTCGATGGATTGGACTCTTTATGAATTTAACGTATCAGATATGCCCCAAAAAATTAAATTTCAAAACAATCCAAGACAATATGTCAACTTGACATCAGAAGGAAAGTTTTAAGGGAAGAAGGATAGGATAGTCGATGGGATATGTATTACATAAGCTTTTTAAATAGAAGACAATTGCCAGACAAAGAAGTGAACGCAGAATATACCCATACCTTGATTAAAACTCTTTCAATACTGAAATCTCCACGTGAATCCCTGATGTATATATCCACTGGGAAACTATAGTTCTTTTTCCAGTCACCCACTGGAAGTTTCGTGGACAGCGTGTTCAGTGTAATTGGTCCATTTATCACAAGGCCAACGCTGGTGTTATAGCGATACTCGTATGTAAGTGGTTCATCTTCATCTCTCCAACCTGAACAGCTGATATTAAAAGTGGTCGATACAGCGTAGCCATTTTCTGGCTTAACAAAACACCCACTGTTGGTGTCACTGCTCGTGAACGGTGAAGAGTTCAGAGTAAACTTCATGAAATATTCTTCCTTAATGATTTCTCTTTTTGCTCTTAATTCAATCACAGCCTTAAGTTTGAAGACGAAATCCCTTGCTGAGATAGAAGACCAATTTACAAACAGGCTTCTTGGTGGATATTTTAGACCGACAATTGTTTTATGCGTAAACTCTTTCCACTGTTTGCCTTTGCTTGTGGGACGGTGTAAAAGGATGCTCCATTTTGTGTTGTCGACGTTACTGCACAGTTGTCCTTTACATTCAGGGAAATAGAAATTCGAAAATCTGACTTATTGAAAAAGAGGTGTTAAACTCCATGTGGACATTCATCATATGTATACTTAGTATTTTGATCATTGAATATATAGGAGTTGGGATACGAAGACATCACCTTGAAAACACAAAAATAATGACGACGGCAAGACAAAAAACCATTATCTTCATCATAATTTCATTCAAATGCACAGGGCCCAGTAAGATGACCAGTCCTTTGCAACCAATACATTTCCCCAATCCCTTGGCACATCGCTATATCGTACTTCTACTAAACCATGTTTTCTTATAAAGATCTTAACATTTTTCCTTATTTTGATATGTTTTAAAACTGACAACCGTTTTTCTCACAACTTGGACCCCTAAGAAAGCCCCAGCTTCTTTTCTTCCCTCTCTGGAGACCTTTCTTAAAGGAGGGTAAAGGTTATTTCACTTTTGCTTACCTGAAACTAAACTGTACGGCAGGAATGGCCTTCAGTGCATGAACTGTAAAACATGTATTATTTCCTTTAGAGACGATGAGCTGGAAAAAGTACGTGTGATTGGACTGAAGCCTGTACATGTTTATATAAAAAATTGCTCCTTTTTCAGCTATCCAACCGTATGGGCATTCTCCTTTAAAGGCAGCTTTATCTTTTTGTCGATTGCACATCCAACGGAACCGTAAGTCTTCCTTTCTAAAGGTATCGGGGTCGACGGATAAATAGGCCTTTAAAACAACTACCTCGCCGAATCGTTTTTCAGATTCCTTTGGCCCGCTTATGGTAACTGTCATAGCTGATTTGACAATTCTTAGAAAGGCGGAACCATTCAGCGTTATGCCATCGACGTTTTTGAGGACAGCGGTGTACCTCATAAAAGTGTCAGTAATACAACACTGTCCAGGAGGACTCGGCAAGTATTCATTCATTGTTAAAAATGGGCCTGTTTTGAAGCTATTTTCCATTATTATAAAGATCTCCCATCTTGGCGAATGATCATTTCTTTTTCCGTTGCAAAAATCTATTCCTCCATCTGCCCCCGCTTGTGATGTTATAACTATTTCCGTGGCTGTAGAAGTTGTTCTTTGAAGATCATATACAGATAAGGAACAATTGTAATTTTCTATATGGATAAAGAGAGACTGCATTGAGAGAGAATTGTTATTTTAACAAAAATTAACAATACCCTTTTCAGGGACGTTTCCTGATCAAAATCAATTTTCACAAAAAAAGATATCTTAAGTTCTCTCGCTTACCAGAGTAAACATGAACCATGCGCTCATAATTGGTCGTGGTATTTTCCATGGAGTTTCGAAGCCTCCGTATCTCTTCAAAAACTTGTTGGGCAATTATTTTGTCCTACAAAGGGAAGCATATATAAAGTTAAGTAGCAACAAGACGGGGTAGACTTCATATGCAAATTTTGAAGCAAAAAACTCTGGTGCTTACTTTCGAGAAAACGACATTAAATTGCACTGCGGGTTGGGGTTGAAATAAATTTATAATGCAGCAGACGAGTGACCATTCAATGAATGATTTTCCAGTAATCGTGCAGCTAGCTATGCGCACAGGATTATGGGATCGCTGGGGGGAAACATTGCAAGTCGCTACAAAGAAATGTAAGGCGTGGAGTTATTTCTACGTTAAAAGTAATGTTTTTGGACATAGAATGTCGCATTTTGCAGTGGCAACCATCGGAGGTGTGTATTGATCTGCAACTTTAAAAACAAAAACATCTTCCCCACGTTGACCGTATATTGATTTCTCCTCACCAAGAACACACAAGCAAAATGTTTTGTCATGAACCAGATCACCAATGAGTTCTAATGCCTTTTCCAATCACTTGTGGGAGGATATAGAATCTCTCTCACTCTCTCGTCCGATTTTTCCTTATCTACTCATGAACAAATACCATGTACTTTCTATGGAATATTTCGTAGATGTTACTTAGTTTATACCAAAGTAAAGGAGGAGTTTTTGTTTTTACGGCCTCATAAAACACCACCTTTAGTTGTTATCCAGTGACACAACCCGCACAGCACCGCACAGCGCTGATCGTGGCCGGGCGTAGTTACACTCGTTGTAAAAATCACCATACGTAATTAAAAATAAAAAGCTTAAATGAGCTAATCCCCCTACATTTAGACCTTAATTTGTACTATATATCTCGAGACCTTTTCTTCATGTATAGTTCACCGTGTAAATTCAGTAAACATAAATTTCACACTCAACCTCACGAAAGGAGTGTTTATTGATAGAGTTTAGCGCATTAATCACACAGAAACTTGATATTTCAACGCACCAACATTAGTCACCTCAGCTTCTCACAAAATCACGAAGAAAATGCGTTATTCCAAGTCCAAAGACACAGTTTTTGACGGATAAACTACATTACGCCAAGCACTTCTTTGTAGCGACTCGCAATGTTTGCCCCCATAGCGATCTCAGAATCCTGTGCGCATAACACGGGTCTCCGAATAGTGGAAAATCATTCATTTGTTACTACTAACACTTGAAAGCGCACACTCTCAATCATATACTATTTGTGTTTTTTAAGTAAGGGAAAACTGAATCCGGGGGGGGGTCTAAAAGAAGCAGGGATTAATTTGAAGGACGAAGGGAAATTAGCGATGAAAAAAACACACCGGTAAATTTTAACTAGAGCTTGCAGTTGTTCCTGCCCAGTGGCAGTTTTTGACAAGAGCATCGCTATTTCAATAATAGGCCATTTGCACGAGGGCGTCATTTTACTACTACGACCAGAATACTTTTCGTTTTTCTTTTCATACTTAAATTTGGTAATCCCAGCGAGATTTATGACAAAAGCCGTATTTTGTACAAGAAAGAAAAACCCTGAAGGATTCTGGTCGTAGTAGTAAATGATGTCATTGTGCAAATGGCCCATTGAAGAATTAAGTTACATCGATAGTATTGTATATTCTTTCCTGCGGCATAAAACGTTGATTTGAGAGGTCGTGATTTATTTTTTGGTGGTTTTGGAGTTGCCATGTCGCTTTGGTCTTGATCACTTGATAAACAATTTGCAAGAGCTATGCAATCCTTTTTGTTAAATTTTGCAGAAAGCTGAATTATAAAACTTGAGTTTTCTTTTTAATTATTACATGCATGTCTCAAATTATTTCCCCTGCTTATTTGTTTAACAAAGCAATCGTGTTTTATCATCGAATCCTGAATAGGTGAAAAATAGCTGGAAATATGAAGGGAAGTGCATAGGTAATAAGATACCAAAGTGACCGATTCACGACACAGTCGACATGTGTATATTTTCTTACCTTTGTATTCTTTTCCCCATTTTCCAAACATGATCTCGCTTTAATAAAAGTAGCGTCCGTCAAAGACATCTTTAAAATGTTACCCAGTCCAAACAGCATTCTCTCGTTGACGTCTTTTTTTAGAGTGTCAGTGTCTTCGGAGTTATTATTTATTAGCTTGGAAAGGAAGTCTATTCCCACATGAATTTTACGTAGTGCTAATTCCTATAATCGTAACATTCAGTTTCCATCATGTTTGTCTTAAAAAATATTTACATCGCTAAAACAAAAGAGTACGAAGAGTAAGAAGTTATTGGGTCTTTCAAACTAAGCACTGAACACTGAACTTTAAACCAACCTACGATTACGACTTACTTAAACAAACACGGCACTCTTGAACTAAAAGACAAATAATTAATGAGACAAAATGGATAGAAATGATCTAGTAGTGGTCCATGATCATTCCTTTTTCACTAAAAACAGAGAGGTTTTTGGCTTTTTCCCAAGACGTAACTTAAAAAAATAAGAACACAATACCTGTGAGTCCAATGGTATATCACCCCTGGTAGCCATGGCTAAGATAATGCTTACTTTCGACAAAAGTTCATTGCTACTTATTTCCACGCGCCTTGTTTCTTCGAGGATGTTGCTTTTTGCCTAAAAAACGATTTTAAAGGGTAATAAAAGCCTTCATTGATTGATAAGTTAAACATATGTTAAAACGCATATTGAACTATTTGTTTTTTGGACAAAATGAATAGCTTACCATTTGGCCAACATGGTTCTTTTCATAGTACCTCTGAAAGAAAACCAAAGGAGGAGTTAGCAAAATGTATTTGACAGCTATCAAATGTAACTTCACCACAAATAGTGGACGGATGTTCTACTAGGACAAAAAGTACGTTTACATATATTCCAGAAATAAGTCGGTCCCTACTAAAGATCCTCCTTATACATAAAAGTATAGATGTAGAGCCTTGATTTTCTCCAGCTCCAGATACTTGAGTTTATTTAACGTTAGTTGATTGCAGTGTTCATAAGGATGGCTGGATCGGTAAAGAAAAAAAAAAGAAAGAAAAAACGGTCCCTAACATTGACTTGTTTTTAATGCTTCTGACACGGATTCAAGTGTGACTTGATTGTTTTGTTTACCTCTAGAGCCTCCAGAACTGAAAGGACGGAAATGGCTAAATCACACGCCTTGGTATATTTCCTAATTGTGATTAAATAGTTGAGTCTGTTGGGTTTTTTGTAAGCAATCCTGTACAAAGTTTTGTTGACATCTTCAGAATTCTTGGGTTGAACCTAATTTAAAAACAGAAAAAAAAATACGTAAAAACGCCAAACAGAACCAACCAGCCCAGGAAAGGCTGAACACCACCGCATTCTTCGTCCCCTACTCTTTTCAAACAGTGGTGTGGGTTCTTTTTCGTCCTTCAAGAAACAAATAACTGAACATGTTGTGAGACGGGACCTTTTTCGTCCTTATCCTAGAAGATTAGTCTAACCGTTTGCAGATGTCATTACAAAAGCAGCATTGTCAAATTCTTCACAGATATTTAAAGACCCTGAGTGTTGGTCCGGCCAGGTTTTGAACCCTTGGCCTACCGCTCAGCAGACTAGTGCTCTCCCAAATGAGCTGACCAGGTGGCGGTTTAGGGGCATTTCCTCGCAAAGCAATATCAGACCTTGTATTAAACGGTGCATCTAGCATCTAGGAACGCCATAGGAGGAAACAGAAGTGCTGAAGACTTCTATTTGGTTTGGATACTAGTTCACGGAAACTCTCAGCATTTTACAACTCGTTGGGACCAATTCTGACAATTATACCTTGACTGTTACTCTTTTGACAGTAATATCTCCATATGAATCCTTGACATGTACATCTACTGGGAACTCGAAATCCTGAAGCCTGTCACCAACTGGAAGTGTTGTTGATAGCCTGTTCACTCCAATGCCCGTAATTGGAGCATTTATAACTACGCCTACGCTAGTGTTATAAACGAACTCATATGTTAGTGGTATGTCTTCGTCTTGCCATCCCAGGCAAGTGATATTAAAAGTGGTTTCCACGGCAAACCCTTCTTCCGGTTCAACAAAACAACCACCATTGGCGTTTTCTAGCTGAATTGGCGGAGAATTCATATGAAATGCCTCAGTATGGTCTTCGTCAATGATTCCATATCGTTCTTTGATTTTAATCGTGGCTTTAACTTTGAACGAAATATCCCTTGCGTACGTTACAGCAGTACTCCAAGAGAGTTTATTCAGAACAAAACTGTTCAGTGGTGGACTTTTTTGGATAATTGTTTCCCAGTGTCTGCCTTTGTACACCGTTTCGTATTCTCTGATCTTCCATGTAATCATGGTCACGTTATTGCATAGGTGTCCCTTACATTCAAGGTTGAGGTTCAAGGGCTTAGACTGAATAACTTTCCTTCCACAATTTGAAGTGCATCTGAAAATAAAATCAAATCATTAGAAATATAATCATCCTCGACCTTGGTCAAAATTACAAATGAAGTGGGCTCTTCTAGGGGATAACTTCCCTCTTCGTCGCAGCTAGTAGGTTCTGCTCACCACAGTACCCAATGAGGCTATTCAAAACTAGTGCATAAATAATTTGTACATTTACCGAAACCGATATTCTAAGATCACCCAAGACAAGAGGGGGTTGCAGCTGTGAGAAAGTTTAACTTTTAAGGAGTGTTCTCAGTTCCTCCCAGCAAAAAAATATCACAAATCAATCCAGAAAACTGATCCTTTTCGAGTTTACTTAATGAGGTAGAGCCATGGAGATTTCACCCGGACTTAATTTCTCAAATAGTAAATATCGACCCTTGATAATTCAAAAAGCTTGTTTTTGAGGGTTGTTGTGAGACATTTGTATTACAAACCTGAATGTAACGTCTATAGCGGGAAACACTTTTAATCCATGAACTACTGAAGTGTTCCGATGTCCTTTTGAAACTAGGAGTTGAAACTCGTGTGTGTGATTAGACTTCAACCTATTAATATCCACAAAAAGGAGTTTCCCATTAGCAGCTGTCCTCCCGTGTTTACACACTTTGAAATCAGTCTCTTTGTCTCTTTTGCATTTCCAGATGAAACTCAAAGTTCCCACACTGCGAATATCAGGATCATATGATTCAGAGGCGTTTAGCACGACGTCCATCTCAAACCCCTTTTTAGCTTCTTGGGGACCAGTTATAATTGCTACTAGCTCTGGTTGGACAATTTTGAGAACGCCGAAATCATCCACATTTCTAATGCCTAACTCGCTTACTTGGGCAGTGAACCTCACAAAAAGATATGTGAGATAGCAGTCCTCA